TAGTGACTGATTTTGTTATTCAGCAGCAAGGATGTCAGAATGAGTGCTTCTACTGCAATGCTGTTTGCTTGTGTGTAAGGCAAATGTCTGAGCCTTCGTAGAACTGTAAAGTGCAGTTCAAATGTGAAAAAATGTTAGCTTGTTGTAAATGGCAGCAAATGGTGCTGATTATTTTACCTTTGACAAAGTGGAAAATTTAAAAGTTGGTTTGTCCCATTTTATTGATACAATAAATTTTTACAGTGTTGTTCTGGGCCTTTAGATATATGTTCTTTAGTGTTTATTATCCCTCAGTTGCCGTAAAAATTCTAGATTCGAAGCCTGGTATCATTGTTCAGAATGCTAATTCAGGAAATTAATTAGCATACGAAAGCAAAGGCACAACCATGTCTCCATTTCTTTCCTTACGCTAACCATAACAAAGTTGATGTTTTCTTGTAATATGCAAGAGTGATGGAACGCAGAGACCATATTTTTTATCATTTAGCACTAGTTTATAGCTTCCACAGACTTGTCCTAATAATGAAGCTATGAAGGATATGACAAGAATGGTGATATTAAATTTCTCTAGACTAACAGTAAATTTTTCCATTCTGATGTCAAGAATGTAGAGCATCTGGAATCTGCAGTGTGAGTGCTTCAGTACGGGAACAGTTTCATCAATTGCTTAGCCATTTATTCTCCTCCTAGGAACAAGCAGTCTTCTGTAGAATATAACACTACAAAGGAAGCAATTTTCTAAAACTGGAAAAATCTTTTATGTCCTGTTGTTTTTGATTTAAAAGGTTTCCATCGCTTCTTACTCTCAAATCCAATTGCATGTGCAAATCTACTGTACACGTTTTAAAATTGGAATTAGCATTATTCTGCATTTTAGTCTTGAGATCAAATAGAACTAAATTGTATTTATTAAGTTTAGAAAAGGCTGAAGATGCTCTGAAGACAGTAACTGTTCAAGTATGTTGAAAGAACAAGATGAAATTTAACCTTTACCATTTTAGGTGTGGTTACATTGTGATGAGTCTTGGAGTTCCCCCCCCCTAGCTTTAGGAGTTAGTTCTCCTCTTAAAATTAAAATGTCGTACATCTCCATGTTTACTCACATTGTTAGGTTGTTTTGGTTTTTGTATGCTCAGGTCTTCTGGGAATAAATGATCTACTTTTTAAAATCAAAATAAATTAGTTTTCTTGTGTAAGTCATGTTTACTTTACTGAAGTATTTTGATACTAATAAATTCCAATGCATGCATGATTCCTTTTGAATATAAATGCTGGTTAAACTTAGGCAAATTAGACTAAAAAAAATCAAGAACCTAAATAGAATAGCAACAATGTACAATAAAAGCAAAAATTTCAATGCTTTTATTATACACTTTTTGCAAGACATTCCACACAGTGGTGCCAACATCAGGCATTAAAAACAATAGGATTTTTTTCCTTTTTTCTAATAACTTCTAGATTAATTTTTTTAAAAGCTCTTGATTGTGTTTATTTACATTGTGGCACCTTTCAAAAAAATGTGAGGTCCATGTATGCTGTATGACTCAAGAAGGTGGGAATTCAAGAGAAACATCAAAATTGAGACTAAATTAAAAGTGTTCAGTATGGCATCAGACTGATGCCGTACTTCGGACTACATAATTACTACTGGAACAATTAAAAAAATCTTTTTTTTATCAGCCTGGCAGTACTATTAAACCATTGTTAAACTTTTTTCCATGGCCTTTGGCTCTGACTTCTAGAACCATCTGAGATAATACTTAGAAGTTTTGCAGGACGTTTGAGGTTGATCTGACCTTGACTCTACTATGAAATTCAGATTACTTCTATGGCTGCAAGGGAGCATCTCTGTACAGTGAGATCTTATAGGGCTGCAGGAATTTAAGCTACTGCCCTTCACGTGTAGGAAAGATGCATGTGACAATTGTTCAGATTTGGTAAGTAAAATTAGGCCAGTGTGCAGCTGCCAATATAGTGGAGTCAACTTCATTACCAGTTTACACTAACTTGACAAATTATTGTGTCCCTGTCCATATCACAAAAGCAGTTTTTTTAATATGCCATGTGCTGGTAAAGTCACATGCCAGCCACAATTTTCACTGTTTCACAGTGCAGTGAATAACATCAACACATTTCATGTGATTTAGACACAAGGAAAAACCATGTTTTGCTTGGAGGTGTGTGTAGAAGATCCATATACTTTATTTCTTAATATATAAAAATCACAATGTCCGTCTGAAAATTTTTGATTCTGTGGTATCGTGCACCACAGATGGAACAAGAAGGAACAAGAGAAAAGGTAAATGTTTACAAGTGCTACCATCCTCTTCTGCTGTTGCCTTCTGGAGCTGAGTCAGATGATCTGTAATCACACAAATTTAACTTCAGACATGTTCTAGATCTTTGCCTTCTTTTCTCCCCATGTTAATACATGAAGTCCTCCTCAATCCTCATTTTCACTTGGCTCCTTGATGGAGTTGTTTTTTAAATTCCTGGCTACATAGTGTTCAGTTTTGGGAGGAGTCTGAAGAGCAAGAGCGTGGTGTTCTCCAGCACGCTGCATGGCACAATCCTCAGTTTCCACTGCTGTGTAGAAGGGCTGGCTTCTCATTTCCTTCTGGCTGACAGCTATAAACACGGGACTGTAGAGCCAAAGCAGGGAAGAACTAGAAGCATGGCTGTAATATTGGATAAAATCAGTCAGCAGCTGTCTAATTGTCTCCACTTCCCCAGGGGAGTTGCACACACTGGGTGCGTTGCTGTTGAAGCTGGAGTAGCGCACTAGGAACGTGGACACCTGTTTCCCTGGAAGGGGCAATTCAGGGCTATATGAATTAGTAAAGCTCACAGAAACTTTTGAGCTGGATGTGAAACCTTCATGTGTATAAGCACCTGCAGGGTTCAGCCCTCCTGGAGTGCTGGCAGGTGGGATTTTTCTCTGGGAGTTTTGTGTGGTAAAACCAAAGTCTCATTATGGGCAGATTCTGTCTCCTCCTGTGTCACTAATAGTTAATCCATCAGGAAATACAAACTTTCATTTTATTTTTCACTAGGGATTTGATTATCAAAGCGTTGAGGAGCAAGTTACAAGGAGAGAATAGTTTTATAGTTGATTACATGTGGAATTTAGGCAGATCTGATGGATCAAGGAAAAGAAAGCTTACTCTGTTACACACCTTTTATTTGAAGGAAGTGGCTGAAGTTACTGTTTTCTTTCTTCTGAATAACATACAGGAATTGTCCCTAAGAACTTAGGCCACAGTGCAAGCCTATATTGAAAATTTCTACTCCATTTTCTGACAGCCTTCAGGTTATTTTGGGGGTAAATATATTTATAGTAATGAAAGTGGCCAAGTGTAAAGAATTCTAAAAATTTTCTAAATTAAAAAAAAAAGTTTTAATTTTCTAAATTAAACTGTTTTCATAAATTGTGTGATTAAAAAAAAAAACATTTTTGCTAAGTTCTGAAGTTCTAATCTGGGAAATTGGAGCCACAAGTCCCACTCAGACCACTTTTCTCTGGCTGTCAGCTCAATCAGTGATTGTGTCTTGCTAGGAAAAGCTTGATGGTCAGTCTGCAAAATTGTAGTGGTTTGAGTTGTATCTTCTTTTTGCAGTATTTCTGAAGCAGAAACAAGAACAGATTTAAATAAAAGCAGGATTCTAAGAGAAATGAACGTGAACCACCAAAAAATGCTTAGAGTACAAAAAGAATGTATCTGGAAAGTTTTTTATTCCCAGCATATTTTACCGAGAGGCAGTAAAATGATGAAAATATAAATACTCAGAACTCGAAAGTACTGTATGTAATGTTGAAAGGGATATGAACTACCTGAAAAGGTTGTGAAATTATGTTTTCTAATAAATATTCTGAATATTCTAAAGCATAAGTTTTACAAGGATAATAAGCATAATAACAATAGGTATCCAGTAATTTACAACAATGTTCTTTTACCAGTAGAATATGTCGTAAATCTGTTCTTGTGATGAACAGCAGCACTTGCTCAGACTAAAAATAATAACAGGACCGTGTATCTTGGATCCCAGGAGACTATTGGTGTTTTTGTAGACAGCAGACGGGAGAAAAAGGCATTTTGTCCTTTTTACCCCAAGTAATCCCACTGGAAAATTAAACATGTGCTATGAATTGATATCAACTCATGCCAGGTTACCTCCCTAAAGAGGACTGCTGCAAACACTGTTGCTACATTTCTTGGACAGCACTTTGATGGCCTGTGTGCACGGTGGATATTTTATGCTGTACGCTACTGTGGAACAGTGTGCTACTGTCTGCCCCTCGGAGACCGCTGCTGAGGTGTGCCACAAATAACTGAGAACAGCAATTGCTTTAGCCCTAGAGAGAATCTCAAATACCTGTGAATTAAAAATGTTACTGAAATATTTCTGTGTGCATGTGTGTCTGGGAAAACTGTGTTGGTTTTGTTTTTAAAAGTTTAATCCTGCAAAACAGAGAAGGTGCTTTTGTATTGCTGTGGATCTTTGCTGAACATAGGATTGAAAAAAATATTAAGCAATATATTAGCAAGAAATATTTAGAAAAACCACGAACCTTTCTTTAATGGACCACCCTATCCAGTTTCTGTTCTTTTAAGGAAGTTTTTCCTATTCATGACTCATTTCACTCTTTGGCTAACATCAAGGGAAATGGAATAACGATTAAGCAAAGGAATGTATGTTTTTTTCTGGGTTTGTCCTTTTCTCAAAACCTTTATGAATTTTCTGCATAACCTTGTGTAAATATATATGGATGTAGAAGTTTGACAACTATGACAAGGTGAAAAGTACACTGCTAATACTAGTTTCTTAGTAATTTTTTCTAAATGTTCCTTTTGGTTCTACAAGTTAATGTTGTGCTGGATACTCCAGACTCCCTCTTCAGTTAAAATGACATGCTCCAGGCAGCCAATTACACAGAACTGTTAAGTGAAATTAATGAGATCACCCTAGATCACACTTTGTGTTTTATTTTCATTTTATAGGTCTGTACGAGCTGCTGGCTGCATTGCCAGCCCAGCTGCAGCCACATGTGGACAGCCAGGAAGACCTGACCTTCCTCTGGGATATGTTTGGTGAAAAAAGCCTTCATTCACTGGTGAAGGTAAACCACATTTAAGTCAGATTCTCTTTGAGAAGAGCATATGGAAAAATGTTTTGAGCGCCATCTAGTAAACCAGTGACCAAACTGTTGCTCAGTGAAAACAAAACAGCCTTGTTTAAACTCTGTTTCTGGCAGGGTGGAAGTTGTTAAATAAGATTTTACCAAAAATACATAGATGATTTCATTTAAGAGTGATGTTTTGGCAGTGTAATGCTAATGCAACAAACATGTGTTGTTTGCCCTTGTTTAGAATAAAAGCATAAGAAATAGTAGCAGGAAATCTGACACTTCTTTATGGTCACCATTCAAGACCTGGAGTTTAGCTTAAATAAATAAACGTTCACAGCAAAAATTAGAAGGAATATATTTTCTGAGGTCAAGTATGGCAAGAGTTCAGTAGCCACATTAATTTAAAATAATTTCCTTTAACAAAGTCAACTGAAATTCTAGTAAGCTGTTTCTTTTATTGGCTTGTCTCCATTTAATATTGTGTTTTGCTCATAAATATGCTGGACTAAAGTACAGCCTAAAATAAGTTGGATGAATACTTGAGTAAAATATTATGCTACAAAAATGATCAGCAACAAGAAATCAAAGCATGCTGTGGGAGTACACAGAGCTATCCCAATAATCTTAAAATTGTGTAGAGCTGAAAAATGGGACCAATCAGCTGGTTAAAAATACTCCACTCCTACAAAACGGTAAGTATGTCTTCAGTCCCAGTACAGAGCTAATTCAAGCTGGAAGGAAATTCTGAGGTCTGAAATGAGTCAGTAGATGGTAGTAATCCATGCCATGAATATATCCAGACTTGTGCAGAATTTGTTACCCTTGTCAATTACTGATCTAGAGGAAGCTTAAGACTGGGATTATTTCTAAGTAGGTTTGAAAGAATCACATTTTCCCATTTTTTTCAGCAATTTTACTCTGGAAAAAGATGTAATAATGTTGATACTTGGTCAAGTGCTTGGTGATACTCTTCAATATATCTGAGAATTTACATATAAAAAGTAAACATAAATGCAGTCTGGAATTTTATGCACAAAACCAACAAACAGTGGAACAGTGCTTGGCAATACTTGCTTGCCTAAAGAATTTCATCAACGTTTCTGAAGTGCCATGACTCCCAGACTCCTTGTGGCTTTGCTGCAGCTGTCTGTGCAGGTGGCTCAGATCACTGTAAGAGGAATACCAGTCATCTTTCTGATGTAGGCTGACAGTGGTGTGCATCTAAGCAAAATGTTAGGTCAGCTGCTAAATTAGTTTTCTTTCTGGTTTGGGAATTAAAGAAGACTGACTAGAAAATGAGTGTGGATCTGTGAAACATTGACACTTCAACATTTGCTCTGATTTTTTATTGAGGCAAAACCTAAACCTTTACAAACTCCTTCACTTACTGCCTTTTGCCCCTCATTCCAAAAGAAGATGGCAGTTATCTGCTTTACTCATTTGGAGAATGCTCTCAGTTTGGAGAAGTTGGCTTTCCTAGTGGCTTGCCTGGTTACATACCCTGGTTACCATGTTGTTTGTTATTGCAGGGTAGATTGGACTTTCTGACTGTAACAGAAAAGAAAGATGAGAAAGGGGATCAGTGAATAGTCACTTTATTGCAATTACAACAAGAAGGCAATGAAATATTCTAACCATCTTCATTATTTATCTTGTGCTCTATCGGTCCAAATATTAAACATACGTGTAATTTTGACCCTGTTGGTGCTCTTAAAATAGATGTCATTCTTGACATTTCAAAACCACATTTTAGTGTTCACTAGCTGCCCTTCTTTAATGCAATGTATTAATTTCATTTATGACACTAAGATTTTAATTGCAAGAATTGAGACTGTTAAGAGCATTTGGTCTGACCCATGCATGTCACAGGCTATCAAACCTCACCTTTGATTTCTGGTTCTGGTATATAAAGAAGGGTATGACAAGCTTTGGAAGTGTTATCTAGTTCATATACCTGCCTCAAGGTGGGCTTAACTGTATGTGAAACTCATGGTATTTGTTTGACCTTTAATGCATTTTTAGAAGGATTGTTCAGTATCCTCTCAAGTTTCAGAGAAGACAGTCCCTAGCCTTTTTGGAAGAGACCTGACAGAGCAGAATAAGGAGCCCCATCTGCCATAGTTTTTCCCTGTTACAAGACTTCGGGAGTGCAAAATGTTTCTTTCTGAGTTCTGGTGTCTTATTTGAAAGACTGTTTTTCTTAGCAGTAACTTCTTAAAGTCAACTGTACTTGTAAAGACAAATGTTTTTAATTCCACAGACAGAGAATGATGACACATATTTTGAAATAAAAAAAGAAAAAGAAAGGAAAAAATGTGCGCTAGCTTTGAGCCAAGGATGTTGCGATTCTGGTATGTGGCAGTATAGGAAGTAAATGAGCATGGGTATATTACCAATTAGCACTGATATTTCTCTATTTTAACACATTGCTTAATAAAAATCTCTACACCGATCTCACCTTACTGCTTAATATTTTCAGATATTATAAAAGCGCTTTTTTCCTGAGTTATGAAATGGATAAAATGCTCCAAAATTATTGAAAGGCTTACGTATAAAAGAACTTTCTACTTTTCCTACAGATATTCTAAGTTTTATGGGTGTTTAATTACCACAGCATTTTCTTCATGGTTGTATACGATAGCATATGGTTTGCTATTCTGGCACTTGTAATATTGAAAAGAAAAAAAGAAAATTTTTAAAAAGCGCCCCAAATCTTGTCTTGGAGTTCTCTTCATTCAGTATTGTTGGACAGAAATCTCTTTGAGAACTTGGATGAGCCTAAGCTGTTCTAAGAAGTCAGAAATGGAAAAGTTGTATTAGATCATGCAGTTCATTCCCCTGCAAATACTGGATTGTTCCCTACAGTACATTCCTATTGTAGTTAGTAAAACCAGCAAACACTGATGCAACTGTTCTTGCTATCCCTTTTCTTCACAAAGGAATCTGTTGATTAGATTTTAGTTTACCAAGTATAATAAAGAAGAGGGAACCCACAACTGATGTTGACAGTTTGCAAGGGAAAACTGGTTCTGGCTAATGTTTAAAATTTGTTTCTGCTTTCCTCAATTTGTTATTTCCTTGTCTTCTTACATGACTCTCAAATTTTACCAAAAATCTTCAGCCATCTCTTTCCTTTTTATATAGCAGAGATCCCTTTAATTCTGTAGAGATTTATGGGATAGAAACACGAGGGGAAGATCCTTCAGGGTAATTACAAGCATTGACATAGCTGATACATGAAACAGTACACATGCTCAGCTTGGATATTTTTTAGAAAGGATAAATAAAGATGTGTTCTAACTACTCCTTTGGATTATTTTTAGAGGATCAGCAAGAATTTCCATGTGTGTTTGCTTGCTGTTAGTGCACCAGACACGTTTTACTGTTTGTCTGTTTAGCTCCAGGATGAAGCTTCCACTCACACTGTTGCCTTAAACATTTCTAGTTGAGGATGTAATGCTCAAGAATTGAGTAAACGTTTCTGTTGCAAAGCTACCAAAGTATTTCATAACCAATTGCAATTTGTTTTTGGCCAACTCAGTACTGTACTTTCCATTATGAAAAAGAAGCCACAGCAAGTGCTGTTGCACTTTCTCTAGATAGAAAAGAGTTTGTACATTTTAAAATGTACTAGGGAAAAAGAAACTACTGCAAAAGTAAGGAGTATTTGGTGAATCAAATCTGATTTTATTGTAACTGCATAGTATTTTGGTAGCTGGACCTGCAAAACCTTAATTTGTGCTAATTTTCCTAGTTTCACCTGGATATGATTTGACTTGAAGTTCTAAGAAAGTGTATTTTTATGTGCTAGAGTTTGACCATGTAAATTGCTAAAAACATATTAAAAATAAATACAGTCAAGTATTTTCTGGTGAAATTTCTTTGGCATGTAAATTGAATTACATGATTACATAGCCCAGATTTTACAGTCGTTGTGGTATAGAAGCATTGGAAATTTTCAGTGTGAATACTCAGATTTTTCAATATGTAAATGTAAATGGTTTCAGTATACTGTGGTTCCATTTTTTTTTTTTGTTCCAATTTTTTTGGCAATAAGAAAGAGGTTATATAGGTTATATAGACAAAAGCTAAGTTGACTAAGGCAAAGCAAAAGGGAGTGATAAAATCAACTATCATCTGCAGATGATGTACTAAATCTTCAGTCTGAACTGTTCATGGGAAGATATGTGCAGGTTATTTTGTCATTTGTAAAAGCTCACATGGTGCAACTTTCCCCTACCCTGTGAAATGTCAGCCAGCATCCAGGTGTGTGCTGCCCAGATCATGTGCATTCACCTCCCGTGCCGTGCATCCAAATGGTGCCTGCTCCTGCCCGGGCACGAGCTCAGGCATCCAGAGATTTGGATCTTCTTCCCATAAGAATGTAGAGAAAATGGACTTCTGATTATGAGTTACAACTGATTGTTCTGAACATATTGGTCTGTATTTTTGGTGGAGATGATCCATAGACTGAGGGAATGCCATCTCTGAGTGTGCCTGAAAAGCAGATGGTGGCTGAGGAGAATGTATTGGGTAGTGTAAGACCTGAGCATGACAGAATAAAATAGAAGATACTACTGAGATAGAGCTGGCTATCTGCATGAAAGGCTGATGATGGAATATGGTGACTACTTCTGCACTCAAGTTTGAAACTGACAGTGAATTACTTTTTGCTGGACATACAAAACTTATTTATTTCCCCGTTACTTAGTTCTTCATATATATTTTCTCTAGAAGTAATATTTATACAGTCTTCATAATTTATTGTTCAATTTGTCTATTTTCTGCATGTCTCAAGACTTTTTTTTCTGTTAATCATACAGAAGACGAAGAAAGCAGGGTATGTTTGTGAGGGGATTTTGGTGGCTAACATATTTGCACCTGTTAAGGCAATGGTGAGGTGGTTTCTGATTTCAGGGCAGACAAAACCAGCCACCTCAGGAGCTCAGAGGAGCTCTATTACTTAAGAACTGCAAACTTGGGAAATGCAC